GTATCACTGGTTCTCTTGTTCTGAGGCTTCCCGCTGCTCTTCTGCTTCCAGTTGTAAAAGCCAATACATCCTTTTATGGACACACACACACACACACACACACACCCTTCTTTCTGTGGTCCTGCCAAAGTCCAGTCCTCATCATGCACTGATTGACTGACGGCACACGCTTTCCTCCTCAAAGGATATCATTTAAAGTGAGGGTGTAGGTGGGCAGAGAATGGGACCCCGTAACTTGGTGGAGAGGAGCTGATGGGGTTGAGGATACTGAACTCTCCAACTGCAGTGGGTTTTATAGAGGAAGTCTCTTCCCCTCTCTTAGAGCAGTACCCTTCCCCTCTGCCTGAGGGATCTAATCTGTATTATGTGTGGAAATAGTAATGGCCTCCCTGAGGAAGCTCCCGAGAAAGAAATGTGGCCATCCTGCCACACATTTTTCCTGGAGACCTACAGTCGAATTCAAGTCTCGTGAGGTATACAGTGTGTCTCAGGAGGAGATGACTGTTCCTGAAGAACTTCCTGAGTTTACTAACTCATAAAGCAAAGTCTGGGCAAATATGTACAGGGATGGAATTTAAGGGCATGGGATAAAGGCAGAAAGATCAAAGCTAAGTCAGATTGAATTGATAAATATGGGTCCATTAAACAGACATTCTGGGTTTGATGTTTAACACAGGGAGTGAAAAGAAAATGATACTGCCTATCTGATTGGTTAGCCACAATATGGATCAAATGATACTGCTTACCTGATTGGTTAGCCACAATACGGATCAAAATGATACTGCCTACCTGATTGGTTAGCCAAAATATGGATCAAAATGATACTGCTTACCTGATTGGTTAGCCAAAATATGGATCAAAATGATACTGCTTACCTGATTGGTTAGCCAAAATACGGATCAAAATGATACTGCCTACCTGATTGGTTAGCCACAATATGGATCAAAATGATACTGCTTACCTGATTGGTTAGCCAAAATATGGATCAAAATGATACTGCTTACCTGATTGGTTAGCCAAAATACGGATCAAAATGATACTGCCTACCTGATTGGTTAGCCACAATATGGATCAAAATGATACTGCCTACCTGATTGGTTAGCCAAAATATGGATCAAATGTAGCCTACTTACTGTGGGGGCTGGCAGTACCTGCTATCCCTTGGTTTACTGTTGGTGGAGGGAGTCAGAGGCTCAGAGAGTTAGAGTCCTGAAGTGGATCACTGTTTGGAAGAAAGATAATCCAGGATAAAAGTGGAGTTATTCCTCAGACTAGCTTGAAGAATGGCTGGGCACAAATTAGTCAGCAGGCTGGGTATGAGGCACTTAAGCAGAACAGTATGATCTAGCTAGATGTCCAGAGGGATCTACACTCTCAGCAAGTCTGGGACGGATCTAGAAATGGAGGAGTCATTAGCCCGTAAACCTTTATTCCACAGGATTGTCACCCTAAGAAAGTTATAGAGGGAACCCTAGGAAACATTACAAAAATTAGCAGTAGATGGAGGGTAAGAAGCAAAACAGAATGAGGGGTGGTGTCAGGTAGGACAACCAGGAGAGGGAAATCTGGTCTCAGGAGCCCTAGGAAGGGTGGGGACAAGGAGAGGGACGCCGTGAAAAGTGGCTTCTGCAACCACCTCTCCAAGGTTTCCTCTGCTGGCTGTGGGATCTAAGTGTTTTCCTCCAGCTTGCCTCATCAGCGTTTCCATCTATGGTGCGAAGGAGTCACAGACCGGCCAGGACTGGCCTTCTGGGCTCCAGGTAATTATCCCAAAGATTGCTGTTAGGTCCATAAGGGATCCCAGGCATGCACAGGACCAGGTGGGGGGGGGGGGGTGGAGAGTGTGGACATGAATATTCGTTCACATGCTACACCTCAGGGACCTGCATCCTAACTTGGGTGGTGATAGCAATGCACTTATTGCAGTTACTGCCCACTTACCAAAAGTCAGCACGGGGTTGTCCAGAGTGGAGTGTAACTTGAGGATGGAGGAACTTTCCTAGGCCAGGGTAGGAGAGGAGCCCTTGCAATCCAGAGCACAATACAGCCCTGACTTGCTCTCCCACCTCGAGTAACCCATTAACCCCTAAAAGAAGGGTGCAATGACCCTGGGCCTGACGCCCATGGGTGGGTGTTCAGTCCTGGCCATGACCGTTTTGCTTACAAGGATCCCACTGGGGGTGCAGAGCCTGATAAACAGAAGTTCCCATCTCCAGAGTCTCATCTGCTCAGCGCTCATGGGAACAAGCTTCCCAGGTTTTCATTTTCCTCTTTGAAAGGTAGTATGTTTTTGCCTTCTTCACTGATCTCAAATACTGGCTCGTACATACCATTAAGTTGAGAACTTTCCACTTTTGGAGCTACTTGGGCCCTTTGAGGAGAGGGTATATTTAAAGTGTAAAAGGAGAACTGATGAGATGGCTCAGTGGGGATAGCTGCCCGCTGCCAAGCCTGATGGCCTGAGCTCAGTCCGGAGACTCACATACATGGTAGGAGAGAAATGACTCCTAGAAGCTGTCCTTTTGACTCTGACGTGAGTGAATGGGCATACCACAATATAATAAATAAACATATTAAAGTGCATAAAGATAATCACACACCCCACACAATAAACAAGTACATAAATAGTATGAAAATGCATAAAGTTAATCACATACCACACATAATAAATAAGTACATAAATTGTATTAAAATGCATAAAGATAATCACAGAGCCCCATCAGCAGCTGTTCCTCCCTCTTGGCATCCTCAGGAGCAATTTGGAAACGGGCTAGCCAATGTGAGCAGAATCCTGTGACCCACCTTTGTCCTCCAGGTGTTCTCACTGCAGGCTCCTCAAACCCTAGTGCTTTGGGGAGTTTTTAATGCCACCACACAGTGCCCGCACTGCAATTTCCTGAGAACTCTCTTCATAGAGGGCTACAAGAGAGACATTGTAAGGGGGTGGGGGGAGAAAAGTGAAGCTTGTCTTTCTCCACATGGAGTCTTTCGGGGCTTGCCTGTCAGAGAAGGGGCTGATCCTAGAGGGGTCACCCTAGGAGTCAAGAGCAATCCAGCCACACATCAGGCTAGTCCCCACACTGAAGGGCTTCTCTTCCCCTCCCCCCACCAAGACAGAATGCTGGCGGCCCTTCAGCATGACAAAGCAGGCCACACCGCCCCTCAGGGAGAGCCACAGCCCCTAATGCAGCATGAGGAATACCTACTGTGATCAGGACTTTGTGATAGCCCTGTCGTCAAAATGGGTGCCAACGTGCTGTCTGACGTTAGTAATGAACAATCTCCAGTCACACTAACAGCCCTTTTAACAGTCACTCCACCTCAAAAAGAATGAATGGGGTGCTCCATCATCCAGCCCACTGTAGCTTTCTCTAATGCACCCTCTGTGTATGTACATGTGGTATACATGTATGTGTGCGCATGTATGTGCATGCACATGGAGGCCAGAAATCACTGCCAAGTGTCTTCCTCGGCTGCTCCCTATCCTTCTGAGAGGTCTGTGAACTTGGAGCTCACCGACAACTAGACTGGCCGACAGGCGCCACAAGGCTGGGGGTACAGAGTCATGCCAATGCACCCAGATTTTACATCAGTGCTGGCGATTCAAACCCAGTTCCTCATGCTCTCATGACAAGAAATGTACTAACTGAGCCATCTCTCCTGCATCATGCGATTAAAGAAGCAAAATCAGGGTCGGCTGAGAGAAGGAGTCACTCAAAGCCAAGTCAACTCTTCATACAGCATGCGCCTGAATCCCAGAGTAACTCCAGATGAGCTGGCCTAGATGTCAAAACAAAGTAAAGGGCGGTGGACGGCTTAGTGGGTAAGGCACCTGCGTGTATGTGTGAAGAGTGGAGTTGGGACTTCGGCCACCTGTAATCCCAGCACAAGAGGCAGCTGAATGATGGCAGGACAGGCTGACACTGACTGGAACGGGCAAGCTCTGGATTCAGTAAGACCCTGCTTCAGTAACTAAAGTGAGGATTGACAGAGGAAGACAACAGACAAAGCCCTGACCTCCACACCCACTCCCAGGAGAGCCAAGGCAGAAGGCACCAACTGTGTTAAACAGCACACTGTAAGCCGAGAAGGAGCTACTGCGCACCAGAGTCCAGCCTTCCAACACAGGCACACTGACTACATCAGACACAAGGACATGGTCATCCATGGGAAAACCAAGTTCTGAGATCAAGGTTCTCAGAACAAACATCAATCGGAGCAAGACATTTAAGACTTCTGTAGCCCTAACATGGAGGAAGCCAAACCCAGCTAACCAACAGCTTCATAAACCTCAACCTATGATAGAGGAGTTAATAGAATGTTTACTAAAGATTATTAAAGGCGTCACCAAATCCCATGTATCAGCAGAGCAGACTTTTGATACGTGCAGAGACTCAACGAAACGGAAACTGAAGCCAGACTCCATTCCCGAGTCTGTGAGGAGAGGGAGGGAAAGCCCTGGCTACAGCAATGGTAGACTTTCAGACAGCCAAACATACTTACGTTGTTTTTAATTCATTCCCATTGCCAGGAATCTCCAAGGGAAATGACACGCTCCTTGAAGGAGATGCAGAGACTCAGTGCATGGTGCCGATGACGCTGCAGCTTTGTTCAGCTTCTCAGCAAGTCACCTCATGGTGGTGCCCACAGATGGGGAGGGTGTTCAGGGAAAGGACACAACACACATTTATGAACACATGGGACCAAGGTCCTCACAGTCACCTTCTGAGGAACCTACCACTGTTGAGAACAGTTGGCATACACAAAAACAGCCTGTCCCAAGTCACTGACCAGTGACAGGCAGAACCTGGATTGGTCTCCGTTCTTAACCACACACCCTAGTTTGAATGAACTAAAAACATGGTTAAAAAGACCTTAGTCTCCTCCCATTTACAAGCCTGTGAATCCTGGCACCTAAGCCCAGTGGTACAATGTGCCAGTCTGGTGCTGGCTATCGACTTCCTTCTAGCACAGGAGAATGAATCAAGGGAGACCAAGTGTAATGTTCCTGTCAGTTTTTATTATTTCCCATTCTAAAGACAAGCACATTTACAGCATACATGGCTTTAAGTGAGCTAAGAATATATAAAACAGTAACTATATGTTCATATATAGTAATACTGTCCCAAACAAATAAATACAAGTATTTAAATGCACTAAGCTTGGCAAGTACAAGTGTGTGTGTGGGGGGGGGGGGGGATAAAACAGTATTATACAGTATTTTTACATCTTTAAAGGAGAGTACAGGCAGCTGTGCTGCAGGAGCTCTGACGGGATCCACACGGCACTCCCAGCTGTCCAGACATCGCACATTCCTTTTGAAATGGGGGCAGACGGTGGACGGCACGTCCTCTTTACGGCCACCAGGAAAACCGTGTCCCACCTACAGTGACCAGCTCAGCCTCCTGGGCAGCAGGAGCTGCCTGCGCCCATGCTGTACCAGGTGTGCCTTCCTGGCAAGCCGGGAGCGTGTTCTGCGCTGGGAGCCAGTCACAATGCCTTCAGAGGAAACACTGAAGCCACAGTCTCTTCCGTGATTAACCAAGTCTTAGAGTTTTACAGTGATTCATGTTATAAAACAAAGACTGAGAAAGTAATTCACATGCAGAACGGCCGACAGGTGAGTCAGCTGTTGCTCTATTCCCTTTCTAAGTGTGGATTGGTAATGCCCTTCAACAGGAAGGAAAGCTGGAGAACACGGGAACATTTCATTTCAAAGTCCAAAGCGATATTTTAAAAGGCAGTGATGTCAAAATGAGAAGAAAATGGAATTAGGAACGTAAGAGTAAACGGGCCACAGAAGAGGGAAAGGGCTTAGCCAGCCACACTGAGCCCCAGCAGGCCGGGAGGCTTTGGGAGAATCCCACACCAGCAGAGCAGCCCCGTGTGGAGGGTTGGGTGCTGAGTGCTCCCTTTCCCTCACCTTCCACAGCGCACACCCTGGAGTGGGGAGTGAGCCGCCCCTCAGCAGAGGACCTCTCCCCTGCAGCAGCAGGCCATGCTACGCACCAGTAGAAAGGGACGCCTGCACCCTCCCTGACTCTGTCCAAGGACTGGGCGGTCTATGCCTCGATGTCCCAGGTCCAAGTTCGTTACATGTTTCTAAAGGAGCCAAAAGAAAACTAGCTAGACTTCTCTAAGGATTCCCATGGTGCTCACAATCGTTGGTATCAGCATCATGGGTATACTCCATATACACTTCTTTTTACAGCCTTTTAAATAACATGTAAACAGAACTATGATAAACAGAATTTATAAAACATATAAATTCTAAGGAAAAAAAATCTGCTATGTGCAGATAAGACTCATCATCACCTTGTAAAAGATGACAGACTAAATTGTCTATGAAATCCCTAACTTTCCTGTCTCACAAACCCCTCCCCGGCTCTCAATGTAGGGGATAGTTTGAACTGTTTCTCAATAGTCATATAACAGAAGAATAGTAACAATTATTGTAAACCAAAAACTAAGATAGTTTCTTTAGACATTCACACATGATTTGTGGTCTTGTAGAAGATGATTAGAAATATCCCAGAAGAACATTTGTTCTGAAAATATTTGTGTCTACTGTCTCTACGGCCCTAAATCCCCGACTAAAGAGTTGTCTCCCAGACACCTGACAAGCCACATTGAAGGTCTCGATTGCCAGAGAAGAAAGGGAGATATGCCCTGTGGGTGTGGACCTAAACATGGAGCTTATGAGGAGGCAGAGTCCAGGGACCTCACGGTTGGTTTTAGATCTCAAGCAGACACTCTTCTAGGACTTGAAGGGGCAGGAAGCGGTGTGGCCCCAGGTCATGAGCTCCTGGTGTGACTGATCAAGCTTCCCTTCCACTTCGGGTTTCACAGAGGGCGGTGGCCTTTGGGGGCCACTAGAACCAGCTTCTCTCACAGCAAGAAGGTGCGACTTCTTTTCCCCAAGCTGAGCTAACACCTCCTACTCTGCCTGGGACCTGGAGCTTAGTGGGGTAAGTACTTCCTGTTTTACATTCAGACTTTTTGAAAGTAGACTTGAAGTCAATGCTCACTTGTGAGTTACTGAATAGAAAAATAAGTTGGGTGAGCAGTGCCTAAGTGGGTGTTTGAAAAAGTCTCCTGGAGTTTCAGACACACCAAGCTGGCTTCTTCTAGGAACTAGGACATTAGCTGTATAGTTACAGCTGAAAGCTATTGGTAAGGGCAGCCATTACTATCCACGCTATTGAGCCACACAGGACCCCTACAGATTCCAACACAAAATCATGCTCCATAGACTCTTTAGTGAAGTCTTTTTAAAAACACAAAAATAAAAACGAATCCTTCAGGTCTTCTTGAAGAATCATATGTGACACTAGAGGGTACCCACATTGATTACGTAACAGCTAATTAGAGGACACCGTGTGTTCATGTCTCAACTTTTCCGTAAGTCCCTTCTGGAGGCCTGTAATGCTTGGGGAAGGCCTTCAGCTGCAGGGAGTTAAATGCATATTTGCGACTTCCAACATTCTTCATTGTATTTTCTCTCCGACAACCCTCACTGGGGAAAAAACAAGCACAAGAAATGACAGCAGTGAAAAAGGAAAAGAAAAGACTTAAAGGAAATGAACTGATTATCCCCATAGCATTAAACAAAGGTTAATAAAAAGATGGGTGCTGGACTCATTTACAACAAACACACATAAGATGGCGGGTTTCTGAACAAAGCAGGGAAAAGCACACAGATGGATACATGCTGGATGCGCTGTGGGCTGGCAGTTCCAGAGCGATGTTGTATCTAAGCAGACACAATTATTTTAAAAGTACATGATTTTGTGTGTATCTTGGTTTTGGTTATCTGGGGTACTATCAACTTGTGGTTCAAAGATTTTCAGACAGCAAACTGAATGAACGGGGATATTTTACTCTTACCATAGCTTCTCAAACACTGTACCTTTTGTACGTTAGCAAAACCCAGATGCCGATTTTTCTTGCAGAATTCAACAGGTAGCAAAAACCATCTGGCCGAGGAGGCTGCTCTGGTATCTGTCTCCACCTAGGGGCGGCTGTTCAAGAGCAAAGTGCCCAGAGAGGCCCAGGCGCTGTCTGCAGAACAGGTCCTCATGCTCATGGCTATCAGGCTGATGTGCTGTGGAGGCTCCACTGATTTCCTGGTGGTCACTAGCCACCTTCTCCAAGTGGGCTGCTTTCAGTACAACCATTTCTTGTATAAGTACCTCTGAGCCCAACATGAGCTCATAGGTGCTCTTCCCTTAGAGAACTCACTACCAGCTTGAATCCCAGCGGTACTCAATGGAGGGATGTCATAGCAACCCAGGGGCAAAACAAATGGTACCCAGCAAGAGGATGAAGAGCCAGGTAGGCCTCAGAGTGAACCTCAAGGGAGTTCTCTGGGCAATGCTCTAGAGTGGCTTAAAATTAATAGCCAAAAATGATTCTTATAAACTCCTTTCCACAACAGAGTAAAACTTGCTATTTTTATAATGTTTAAAGAGTAGCAATGAAATCAAGTAGTTGTCAAGTTCAGTAAAAAAAATCCCCCTTCTGAGATGTAAAATTTGCAGTTACCAAGAAAACAGTGATTTTTAAAAAAGTATTTCAAATTTTATGAAGACCACATGACATACATTAAAAAAATAGCAGCCAAAGCCTTTCAAAATGAGAATGACAGTCCCCTTATTAAGAACATGTCAAGGAGGTTTTGGTGAAGACAGTAGTGCTTATTCAAAAGAGAGAAGACCAGGCGGTTTAGAGAAGCATCCACCTGCTTGCTGTTGACAGATACAGCCACTCTGCATGTCCTTGTTCCAGAGCCTCAAGCCATAGGCTGGATGTGTCACCTGAGCTAAAAACCTGGGCCACCCAGAGCACACGACAGCATTTGCTGAACACTCAGTAATCAGATACGACTACAACTCTATGTAAAGCAGAAGCTATGGGTTCCCGTGCACAGTGAACCAACCTGCCATGTCTCTGGAAGCTCCTGTCCTGACAGACTACTTCACATATGGCTTCTCCACTGATACAGAAGGCCCTCAAGCCCACCTACCCAGTAGATGCCAAATGATAACTTAAAAACTGGCAGTCTCTGTATTTACCTGTGAAAAGAACTAATACTAGGTTTAGCTGACTGCATACATTGTACATGAGCTTGCAATTCAAATTATGCCTTTAATTTGACTTTTAAATCAAATTGTTTCCTCTACACGTTTCTAGCCAGGCTGATATGCCCTGTCTGCATGCTGACACTATTGGCATGATCTGCAGGTGTCCGTGAACTGGCTTGAAGGTTTGGGACAAGGTCTGCAGAGGTGGTAAAGGGTGCCCTGTGGCAGAGTCCAGCATGATGGCCTGAAGCAGCACACTTTCCCTGACTACACTGTTCCAGTGTCATTAGGAGGCAATAGTACATGGCAAGGTGTTAGGCAGATTTTAACAAGAGAGATTTAGTTATTGGACAGTTCCTGATTTATTATCTCAAGAATGACCTCATTTCAAGGACATCAACTTTGGAAATTTGAATGGAAACTCTAAAGGACAATCCTAAGACCTCTGCTTTTCCTTTTTTTTGTGGAGGTGCGGGGGGGGCTTCCACTTTAGAGTTCATCTGAAGGCCCCCATGTCTAGGCCATGCCACAGCAGCCACAGCAGACATGGGGAGTGACTCTGGAGAAGAACCATGCCCCTGTTTTAGTACCTCCATCTGAGTGAGTACAGGAGGAGGCAGTGGCGTCAGCCTGGCTCAGAGAACGTGCACAGCCATTTTCCAAGGCCACTCAACAAGAACTCCTGGGCATGGCTCTCTCCTTCAAAAGCTGCTGCTGCAGAGGATGCAGCTCTGACCAGGCACCACACCACAGCTCAGGATTACTCAGAAGCAACCCAGATGCCATCAGTCAACACCAACGGTGCCTAGCTTGAATCATTTCCTTATCCTGTTTCTCCTCATTTCTTGCTGTAGACAAGATTTTGAATACATATTTGGCTTGATTTTATGAGCAAAAGGCGTTAATGACATTAAAATCCAGTGTAAAGGATAAACAGACTGAAGGTTGGTCTCCCCACCTCCCCTTTATGTTAGAGGAAAAAAGCAAATTCAAATCTCCAATCCCCCTGCTGGGGTTGACTCCCAGAGCCAGCCAGCCTTTTGTGCCTGGGGGCATAGGGTGGTGTACTGCATTCTACTCACCCCCGGAAGAGAGAGACAAGGAGTCTCATTGCTTGCCCTTCTGACCCAACAGCCAGGGCTATATAGGACAGGAGGGAGGCTTGGCACCACAACAGACCATAGTGTCCCCAGGAATTCTCCCGGCCCGAGGTGTGGATGGAGATTTCTCTAACCAGCACTGCTTCCCTTTCCTGTACAATAGTCCTGAGAAGAGTCCCTGCAAAGAGCTATGGAATCCTGGGACACAGGGGACAGAGGGTGCTGTCTCTGCAGTTACTTCTAGAGACTTCCCTCATCTGTCTATGCTCTTTGCTTGGCCACAGCACAACCCTGGAAATGATGCATTCCTGAGTCACCTCCATGTTACCTGGAGGGTACCAACCTAGAGCAAGGAATGGGGGCCATGGGATGGGGATGGAAGGAGACTATGGACTCTCTCTCCCCTGTTCAAATGAAGCAAACAAAATGGTCTGTTAGGCTTGAAGCACATGCTTTGAAGGGAAAGGGCATCTATCAAATATTCCTTTCAAAGAATCACTGACTGGACAAGTCTGTCTGGTGACTAATGTCAGATGGGCAGTGGCTAAAACACTAAACTGAAAGATGCCACAGAGCTGTCACCACGTTTCTACTAGGAGAGACAAGTAGACGTGTTTTTGTGGGAACACTGAGGCGAGGCCTGCCCGGGGGAGTCTGTGGTGCTCAGAGCTGCAAAAAAGGGCACTCCTCAGGTGTGGTAAGGACAGTCTTCCTCAGCCCAATTTACAGATTCGGTCTGGCATCTGGTATTCGCTACTAACTGCTCTGCAACTCCTCCATGTCACTCTTTGAGATGAAGCCAGATCAGAGGCAGTCCTCCAAGTACTGTCAGGAAATCTCTTAGACTAGAGAGGCTAGAGCTCTGGTGGATGGGTTTGTGGGCATGAGAATGTCAAGATCCTCAAAACTCCAGCTTCTCTAAGTCATCCCAGGTTTCCCACAAGACTCATGAAAAGAAATCTCCTTCATCGAACTGGAGGTCAAAAGCAGAAATACAACCTACTATGAACTGGGAAGTGGAGAAGCCCTTCACTATTTCTTACACAAGGCCACAAGGCAAGGGGAATCTTTCCTAGGCTACTTGGTTACTTTTATGGAGGACAATCACTCTGCCACATGAATGTCAGGGTGAGTAGCCATCCTATTTTAGGGGCAGTGCCATGTCAAAATTAAGAGTGATTGCCGGGCGGTGGTGGCGCACGCCTTTAATCCCAGCACTCGGGAGGCAGAGCCAGGCGGATCTCTGTGAGTTCGAGGCCAGCCTGGTCTCCAAAGCGAGTACCAGGAAAGGCGCAAAGCTACACAGAGAAACCCTGTCTCGAAAAACCAAAAAAAAAAAAATTAAGAGTGATCATGGCAAAACCCACAGCCATCTCCCCTTCTCACAGCTGGCGCTCTCTCTCTCTCTCTCTCTCCCCCCCCCCCTCAACTGCTAAAACTTAAGCCTCTTTTTAAAATCATTTTTCTCTGATTTTTTGTTCATTATATATAACCTTATTGTATTAGTAAAAGAAAAAAGATATCTAGACTTCATCTGGAATAAAACATACAATTTTTAAATTAAAAAAAAGTTATTTCAAGAAAAAGTATATAACTCTTGCTACTATGTGTGTTAAGAGTAACCCTGAAGTCACATGCAGCATGTAATCTTTGTGTGTTGGACTCGGTGGCATGTGTTCCTGGATCCACAGCTGTGTAGTCACCACGTGGAGACAGCTGGAAGCAGGGAAGTGTGACTCTATGATCTGTTTGCTATTGCAATCCCAGGACTACGCTTTGAAAGGAAAGTAGGAAGTCCAGTCCTATCAAGCAGGGGTATCTAGATAAACGGATAAAGCATCTTTTTCTTGTTGATTTCTTCAAAAGGCTAGGAAGGTTAGCAACACACTTAAGGAATAGTATCAAATATACAAACTCTTTTCAGACAGTATCCCTTTCTCTTGGAACAGGGCACACAAGATGTACATGTAATAAATAGTTACACATCAGAAGGTAAGATATTTGGTACAAGTAATTCCAGGCCAGCTAAAGAATGCAGTCACAGGGCACCAGAAAAACATGTTACAAGCACTGAAGACGCTACGCCATCAAAATGAACAAGTCCTCTCGATGAAAGAATTTAGCAGGTATTTACAGTTCAGAAGAACAAAACATCAAACTGTAAGGCATAAGATAGTTCTCGGCAGACCTCGCTTGGACACCTTCCTTCTGTCCAGTTTGGTACACGGTGGCTGGACATATTCGGGCACTTTTGTCTGTCCTGTGACTAATTAATTTTTTATAATGATATTTACTTGCAACGCAATTTGGTCACCAGGTATGCTATGCTCAGA